TCTCTATATATATATATATATATATATATATATATATATACTTAGAATTTAGTGCTCCAAAATTTTTGACATCAAATACCGTACAAATATAATAAAGTATATTAACAATGACTTACTTGAAAATTTTGAGAAGGGCATATTGGTAATTTTAACTTGCCTTTAAAGTCTAATCATCATTCAAAAAGTCAAAAGAATCTTTTTGAATTTGAAATTGAGTTTTGGATGGATTTTAAAGAGACCACAATGGCCTTTCCAAAGTATATGAAATATTTATGATAAAAAGTCAATTTTTTCTATGTAAGGGTATTTTATGGTAAATAATTTCATAGTTACTAAATTCTAGGTTCACCATTAGTGTGGTGTATTTTAGCATAACCCTTATATATTCGATTTCTAATATCTTCAATTTCTGTTTCCCTCAAAAACTATGTTCAGTATCTTTGTATCAAAAGATATCTTCAGTAACTACATATATAATGTACACAAAGTCATTTAATATACTGTATAAAATTTTTTATGAAGTATCCTGGATATGGATATGTCATATTTCTTTGTTAGATTAATGGGCTATTAATATAATATTTCTGATGTCCTTTTACATGTTCTAGACATATTTTAAAAGATAATTTAAGCTAGGGGAGTTTGTTGGACCCCTAATTCTCTGCACACATTTTCTTCTTATCCCAGTGATTCATCATCATCATCAAGCCTTATCCTCACTATTTGGGGTTGGCTTCATGAGTTTTGTTTTGCCATTCTGCCCTATCAAGGGATCCACCATCACTCAGACCATAAGTCACTATATCTTTTTTCACTACTTGTATCCATGTCTTTTAGGGCCAGTGTTGTTCTAGGTCAATGCTGTAGATGATCAGACCCCTAAGTATACATTCATGCTAGTGATTTGGAAAAAAAAAAAAAGAAAGGAAAAAAAGAAACCGCTCTCAGGAGAATGATCCAAAATGAGTATGCTCTTGACAACAAATGCAGGCAGTCCATTTCATGGACACACTCGCATGTTATTTTTACCTTATTTTATGTTCAGAAGTTTCCAATTTCAATATGATTATCTTGTCTGGTAAAGATAATTTAAGCATAGAATTGTATCCATGGTCCTAATTTTCATGACATTCAGGGATCATCCTAAGCCATATAGATTCATGAAAAGCCTATCTTTACAATGTCAATCCCTCCTAGTAATGCTTTTACTTCCTCATTTGTGGCGTCTCTCTCCCTAGATGGACATAGATAGTATCTTAGGTTATAACTTCTCAAGAAACGCTCTTCGTGGCCCTGGTCCAGGACTGCTGAAGTTTTGAAAGCTCTATTCCTGCAGTGTAGGTTTCTGTCGCTTAGTAATAAAACTAAGATCTCTAATTATGGACTGGTGTCACAAATAGCGTAGATTCTGTTGTGCATATTTTCTAGAGTTTAAGATCATAGTAGTTTCTTTAGTTGATGGCTCCTAGGGAACATTAGATTGCACATGTTTTCAAGCACTTCTTTTGGGGCTCAGTTGTTTTGCGTCCACTTGTCTTCTTCTTAGAGGGCTTCTGATTATTAGATCTGCAGTTCTGCTGCTTAATTGAAGTTGACAACTGTAATCGTTGATGTCAAATCAAATTTTTGAAGTCATCCATTTATGTTTTCATGAACTATATGATTTCTTGCTCCTCAAATGTGTCTTAGGTTCCTTTGTGGATGATTTTTCTTAGGTAGTTCAGTGTTAAGAATTAAATCTGGGCTCTTGTGCTGCAGTTGTTTAGACTCTTAACCATTAAGAAGGTGCTCGATTCCCTTAATGTATCATTTTCTATATGCATTACTCATTACTTCCACTTCTTGCCTCCCTAAAAGGTCATCCTTAAGATCTTACTGTTGATTTTCCTTTTACCGTAAGGAATCCTGTGGTGGTGGCTTTCTGAACTGGTTTTATTGCAACCATGGCATTGTCTTTTACTCATCGTGTCTCTAATCCTTCTTCCTTCTTTGGATGATGCACCTTCCTACAACTTGAAATGAAATTTATAACTTTTATTGATCTTCCATCTAAAATTTCATAGTACTCTTTTCGGAGTTGAGTTTCTTGGCTTTCCTAGATTTATTGGAGACATGAGGGTGAAATTGTTTCATGGAGAAGCAGCAGTTTCCATGAATTGTAGCATTTCGTGCTTTTGTTATGCGGGAATGGAAGTGCTATTTGGAAACCGCTGCTTCCAGCGGCCTTAAAAGACAACATCATTGACATCGTTTTTTGGAGGCTGTCAATTCCATGGTAACCCATGGAAACGGCGGCTTCCAAACTTTGTGGAAGAGGGGGTTTGGTGGGTATTTTGGTCACAAACTCCCAAACAGTGAAGAAAATGGGTATGAGTGAGGTTTTGAAAGCTTTGGGTTTTTTTTGTAATAACCTGAAAAAAGGGATTTTTTAGATAATTTTCCTAATTTTTATATTGAAATTTCATAATGAATTGTTGCAATAACCTGCAAGAGGCAAAGACTCACCAAATTTTTTTATTTTATTGCTATTCATGGGGAATATGGTTGCATTAACTATAATTTGTGAGCTATCAGATATCATCCTTGTCGGGACTGAAGAAATCTAGGGGTCTCACCTTATCTCTCGGTCTATTCTATCTATCTCTGCCTTCTCTAATGGACCCCCTCGCTTTCTAACCAAATGTTAGCTGTCTTACGCCAAGTGTGTCATTTTTCTCTCTATTATCTTAGGTTTTCCTTATACAGCATTAACATAACTTAAGATATTTATCAATATTTTTTGTATTTTTTAAGATTTTTAATACCATTGCAAGATCAGACTTATACTGAGTCCTAATTTGACTTGATTTGGCAGCTCACCGAAATTAAGTTTTTACTAATTTGGAGGACCTGAGCTTGTCACTTTAAGTTTTTACTATAGTCATTCCTATGCTACTTCACCATAAATGACTGTTCTCACTGCCACACATTCAGTGTCTTTCCAGTTAATATTCCAGTAGGGGTTATTTGCCTAGAAATGAGCAATCTTGTCAGATAAATTCTCTGGTGCTGCCTATTGGATATCCTTGCCATCATTTTTGGTGTCACGTTAGTATCTTTACTACATTGGCAAGCTGACTTCTCATTATCTTTCAGAAGGATCTGACTTTTGATCTTCTGCATGTAGATTCGAGACTATTACCATCATCTGCATCTCTTATGTATGAATAATATCTATCAGATCCATACGATAGTTGCCGAGTATCTTATGTAGGATTCTAGAATCTACCCTGCTGATCATTTGTTGGAAGTTCCTTTTCATCGTATGTTGTATTTTGTTTTTCTTTCTGTGGGCTCCATTATGATCAGTATGTCTGGCCTATATTTCCTTTGGAGGCATTTCAAATTTCAAGAACCTGTGGGTGTGGCAGAGATGTCGGGTAACCATTATTATCTGCTTTTCCTCTGAACTAGAAGTTCATGGAGGCCCCTCCCTTGGTGCCAATTCTTCTTTCATCTTTTGGTAGGTGAGATTAGATTTGGACACTGATTTTTAATGTTGTTCCCTTATGCACTAAGCACTTCGCTGAGAGTTTGAAACATTGGATTGAAGTTTATATATATATATATATATATATATATATATATATATATATATATTTGATAATGTTGGATTGAAGTTTATATTATTACCCCAATTTAGTTTGCTGCTTGTCTCCAAGGCAGGAGACTAGGAATACTATTGGAGTATGATCCAATTGCTGTGTATACTGAAGTCTCCTGCATGTATTACATGGTGTTTATCTTATGCATTTGTTGAGGCGCTGGTGTTTCAGCTGAAGTAAAATTTATGCCTTTTCAATCAATTGTTAACTAGTATAAAATTGACGGGTTTGTAAAATTTAATGATGGCAGTCCTGCGTGCTCCCTTGCGTTGTAGGTAATCTTCCATGTAAAGGATTGCAAACAGCGTTTAATGTCTCGCACCTAACAGCAGTTCTTGCTGATGGTCTGTCTTTATTTTCTGAAGATACCATGTTCGAATAATAGCTGCAAATCACACAAGAGGAATAAATTGAATCAGTCAGTGAAGCAGGAAAACCATACTCCATACCTTGATGACAGCGGATATGAAAGGATGCCTTCATACCTTTTTTTGAATCGATAAAACTAATGTTCCAAGGAGGTGAAGTATGAATGCATGGTGAGTGAGAACCATCAAATAAGGTATAAATGTGTGGCTTTAAAACATTCGCAGATCCTTGAGAGGCATGAACAGTTGGTTTTTCTTTTGCACTTGTATGAGCAATTTCCAATTTATCCTGATGTGTTCACTTAATAAATGAACAAAGACAGGAGCTGAAAACCAAATGAAAAAGGAAACATGAATCCCTAATTTGTGACCGTGGACCCCTGTTCAGCATGATGGTCGTCTATTCCTGAGTCGATGGATTCATACACGATGCCTAATTACTTCACATACCAAAATCTTTATTTTTCAGACCATTTCTGTTGTGTACTGATTGGAAAACAATGTATTGTAGCTTACCTCTTTATGAGAACAAAGAAGAGAACTCCAGAAACTGATCGTGGTGAAGTTGTGGATGAGGTTACTGCACCAGTTGTAACTAAGCCTGTTGCAGTGCCTGAGAAGGTGCAAACACCCCTCCAAGCTCCACCAACAGTGCATGAGCCGATTCCTGAAGATCAGCAGCGTGAGCTTTTTAAGTGGATTTTGGAAGAGAAGAGAAAGTTGAAGTCCAAGGATCCACAAGAGAAGAAGCGTATTGATGAAGAGAAGGCCATCCTTAAGCAGTACATTCGAGCCAAGTCTATCCCGACCATTTAAAACGCTTGGGTTGTTGTACAATTCCGTATACCTTTTTCTTTCAAATTGTGCTTGGTGGTGTTTTCTAGGCATCTGATATTAATCCATCATTTTGTGGCGTATGCAACGTTCTTTAGACCAAAATGTGTTCATGTCACTGGAGGTTTGCTGTGGTTTTTGCATTGATTTTTTCTCTAAAGATGTGGAATGTGGAGAATAATCTTGCTTACGACAACGATCTCCATTTGCTAAAGCAAATAGTGTATGCATTCCATGCAAATGGTCATAAATTTGAACTTGAGAATTATCATTGCACACTGAATCCTCGAGAGCTTGAAGTCCTCCGGTAAAAAGGATAGAAAGTTAAAAAGGATACAATTGGTGGAACTTGATTTCTTTATTGTCTTTTTAAGATACCCATTGGAGTTATATATTTTGTTGGCACTACAGCACTTCAAAAGGAAACTCCCCAGCGGTAAAAAGTTTTAGAAAGACAATTCGCTTGTGCATATATATATATAAATATATGTGTGTGTGTGTGTATTTTCTTGGGATTGATAAGCCTCGTACTTTAAAGATTGAAACAAAGTTTCAAATAAAGAGCTTATATAGGCCTGAAATGGTCAGATGCCCAAGCACGTATGTAGGTCAAAGATCTTGACATGGAGAAATAATTTGACGTGGTGAAATACTATACATTGTGCAAAATTTTGGAAAATATTGTACAGCCCATTCCTTCAGTACCTGTCTCTAGTTGACCTGCAGTTTGGTTCCAACTTATTGGAAGTGGCTGTAGCCATGAGAGAGCAGATACGTTTTAATAAGTGGTCACAAGTTTGGATGCACCAGATTCTCCCTTTGGTGGCCGAGTGTAGTGCCTGAATGCAGGACATTATCAACCAAGCAAAAGCATGTACTTTAATTAATGGGAAAGCTTTACATGTTACTCCATCCACATATAAAATATATATGACTCTCGCTCTCAGCCGTCAGATTTGAGTCGATAGTTGGGATGGCTTGAGTCACAATGCTTGGGATGGTTTGAGTCACAATGCACAAGTTGGTTTTCGAGCATTAGATGTTGATCTGATGGCTCAGAGTATTTCATTTTTAGTCTTTATTATATAATTCATTTTGTAGTGAAATTTGGGGCATGGATACATCTGACAGGGGTGTGCATGACAAAAAAAAAAGAATTTCCCTTCATGAAAATTTACTAGAATTCCCTTGAAAATTTTGGGGCATTTTGTTCATTTATTTTCACAAAGATTTATATTTTTGCTAGATGTGTCCAATAAGAGGACGGGATGCCCCAAATTTCACCAAAAAATGTTTTGCAGAAAAAAATTAAAAATCAAATAGCGTTTTAGCATGACATTGTGACAAAACAATTCTAGCCGTTCATTTGGATCGAACGGCTGAGAAGTAGGGTCGCATATCATTTATAATTAATTTTTCTGTGCATATGATTACTTTTGGGCCATCCAAACCTTTCTATGGTACCTAGTTGCCAAAGGTTCGGAGAGAAATGTACTTGAAATTATTTTTAAAGGCAACGAATTTGGGTTTTTAGGTTAAGTCTCTCAAAACTTAAGATCAAATTCTAGGAACAAGTTCTTCTATATCAAAAACATTAGATCCATGCTTCAAAAAGGCAAGGCATCAAAAGGCGTAAATTAACTCGTGATTTGGACACATGCCCCTAATTCCGGGTTTCTCAGGTATGTGCTCTTTTTTTTTTCGTTTATTTTTATTTATTTCTTCCTTTATCTTTCTGTTTTAGTTTTTTCTGGTTATTTCTTCATCCTTAGATTTAGCTAAATTTTAGAAAGTTTTTTATGTCTAATATAATGAATTGGAGTTGGCACTGCCAGGACTCGGAAAATGACCGGTTCTATATATATCTGCAATGTTTCTAAACCCTTAATTTGAGCAACCCCACTCTCTTTACTTATCTCTAACCTTAACTCATTCCGCATGGTGTTTGAGTTGATCTTGCTCATAGATTGGCACAAATCTTAGTGTAAACAGTCTTGTCCATGCTCCTCATATGTGCGGGTTGGGGATTTCATAATCCCCATTCTTGATGGTTTAGTTTAGGGGAATTGGGTTCGTAACAAACCTGTCACTCCCATCTTCATCGTGCACAATGGCTTGGCCACCGGCACTAGGGTCTCCGCTCTTTCCAAGTTGAGGGGCAGCCCTAAGGTCACTCCCTCGCCTTCACCCTTTAAGACTCGCGTCTTAGCCGTCGGCCCACCTTTGAGGGGTGGCCTTAGGCCTACCCCCTCACCTCATGCACACAAGGCCACCATCCCCTCTCCCTTACTGAAGGGTGCCTCTAAGACCACCCCCTTACCCCTCACACTCAAGCCCGGTGGCCTTGAGGGGTAGCCCTAAGGCCACTCCCTCACCCCACATACCCATGACCGGCGGCCTAGCTGCTTGTCAATCCTTGAGGCCCTAAGGCCACTCCCTCAGCCCTCACACCCATAGCTGCCGATCCACCTTCGAGGGATGGCCCTACTCCCTCATCCCACATACTGAAGACCAGCGGCCTAGTTAGTAGTCCACCCTCGAGGGGTGGCCCTAACGCCACCCCCTCACTTCTCACACGCAAGGCCGGCGGCTAACCTTTGAAAGGTAGCCCTAAGGCCATCCCTTCCCCTTCACAGCACCACATCGGTGGTTTAGCCGTCGGTCTTCATCATCCTAGGGTGGCCCTAAGGCCATCCCCATCTCTCACCCTCATTGTGCCGACGACTTAGCCATCGGTCTCCCACCTCACTTCGGTGACCCTAAGGTCATCGCCACTCTTCACACACATTCCACTCCACTCACTCTCAGCACTCATGCATCTCACACACATCATGTCGGTGGCTCGCCCACCGGTCTCAAAGCACTCAAACAATGCTCAAAAGCTGCCCTCATGGGCTCCAAGGGGTGATGCCGATGCCGCAAGCCCACCAATCCCCAAACCTATACTACTTATACCCATACAACTGCCTTGAGAATGGGGACATCCAAAGCCCGGCCCACTCCGGTGCACCCACTCTCCCAATTGTTAACCGATGGTATAAGCACAGGGATGCCAAGAAAGAGGATTGGGACATCTATGGAGTTCGTCGTGAACGTCAAAAATAGCCATCATGCTGCTGAAATTATGTTAGCTCCTAATGGGGGCAATGTGGCAAAGGCAAGCATGTTCTCGACCACCTTCATATTTGAACCATGGAGTTGGCTGTCCCTAACCTCGTGGCACAAGCCCCTAAACCTCTCATCACGGTATTATAAAACCTTCCCCAAGAGTACCATCCTAACTGAATCACACCCAATGTTGAGCACTGACTCCCGAGGAAGAAACCACCCATCGAGACGAGTCAACCAGCCTCATCCACTCCTTCTTCAAGTGAAGCTCAACACCCGTCCTGACCCCACACATAACAAGGGGTTAGAAGAATTGCTCGCCTTCGCTTGGATGCAGTTCTATCAAGCGATCAAGAAGGGAAACAATGGCCAAGCTCGCATATGGGTTTAGGTGACTAAGAACTTGAAGGCCTAATTCAAGGGTGAATAGAGAAGAGCACAAAAGATGGTATTCCTCTTTAAATCAAAGACGTGAGTACCTTGGAGGAACAAGATCCCTTCTTCCCCCTTGCCACGGTAAATACTGATGACTAGAGAGGCTAGCCACATGGTGCAAGTAAAAGAAATCACTTGGGGCATTATAAGGCCTATTATTCGCAATATTTGAAGAATGGCCGGGGGCAAAGTTGGGCCCACAAAGGGGGCAGGGATCCAATCTAACACCATTGACCTTGTCAAGCCTAAACAATCAGAGTAAGTGGTTGTTCAAATCGTCAAGCCCGAACAAGCCGAGTGAGTGATTGTTTAAGTTCTGGAGTCCAACTAACTTGACTTGAACCTGTGGCGGTCCATGCCCCCAACGAAGCTCCACCCATGCCAACAACGAGTTGGGATGCCCAACACAAAGGCCTTTTTTAATCCAACCCAACCCAAGCACATCTTGATGCAGGAGACCAAACCAACCTAATCCAAGCCGATCACAACTCATGAGTCCAAAGAAGTTTCACCCAGACTAATGTTAAGTCAGAAAGCCCATGCGCTAACTGGAGGGCAGCCCCCAAGCCTTAAACAGGTGGAGGTTGAACTCAAAAAGAGGGCAAATACGCTAATCCAAAACAGTAGCCCAAACAAGCCAACTATGTCGAGTCACTCATGGTTAAGAAGTTTAAATTTACTCTACCTACGCTACAGGTGGATCAAGAGCCTCAGAAAATCTTGCCTAAACCTATCATGATTCAAAAGGCCCCAACACTATGGGGAAGCCCCAAAACCTCAAAAAGGACGAAAATTGAGCCCAAAAGGGAGCTGATGCATAATCTATGGCTGAGAATCCAACCAAACTCAATATATATACGCTTGCAATGGCTTAGGCGGCCAAACTCAAACCAACCCGGCGCAAGTTAGCCGTGGCACGAGCAGCTCAGTCTATACCATCTCGGCTTAAGCTTATAGTGACCCAAGGGTCCAGGTTATCCAAATGTTTTGCCGAGGTGCAACATACAAAGAAATTTATGGGGCATGCAGATTGGACCAATTCTGCCCCTTCCCCCTCCAGAGAGGCCATCACAATCTCACTTGAGCAAAGTGATCCCCCGACAGTGTAGGTTCCAAACTGTGAAGAGACCGGTCCTATTGAGGCGGGCCATGCAAAATATCCTAATGCTCTGAAAGCTCCACATTTCCAGAAAATTCTGATGATGCCACCTCCAATACCCTCATTCAACCAATTACCCTTCCTCTAATGAGAGTTTGTCACTCTCATTCGAGGCAAGCCACTCTCATTCCAGGAAAGCCACTCCCTAGCAATGGAAGGGATGAGCCAAGAAATCACTCCCTTTACCAGCGACCTCAGTCTAATGGCTTCTCCATACCTCGAAGGTGCCATGATTCCCTATGAGGCTCATCACATGCTCTCCTCTTGCCTCGATCGCTCTATATTTTCTCTCAATGATGATGATGTGACCTCACCTTCCTTTGAAAGTTTCACATTCTCATTCAATCACGAGGAGACTCGTTCCTTAACAAAGGAAGTAGGCCTGAGGGGAAGCCCCATGACCGTCATCAATGATGCCATAGGAGTAGCAGTTGAGTCAATAAGCGAAAACTTCATCAAACAAAAGGAATTTGGTGATCAAACTCCTTTGGCATGTACCACCCTAAATGAAGACAATTCGCTGCCATAAGCCCCAAGGCCTCAACTATCCCTTAGATCCTCAACAGTGAGCAAC